ATCTGCTCATGCCACCCAGAAGAAAACTATCAGGGGCGCCTGGGGGGCTCAGCAGTTAAGCAGCTGCCTGCAGCTCAGGTCATGACCCCAGGGTCCTGGGATTGAGCCGCAAATCAGGCTCTCTGCTCAGCGGGGAGCCTGCTTCCCCCTCTCCCACTCCCCTGGCTTGTGTTCTCTGTCTCACTGTGTCTGTCACATAATAAAATCTCTATTAAAAAAAAAAAAACTCAAAACTTTAGAGACTGTTCCATTATGATATACCTACTCAAATCCACAATGATAATGGCTCCCACTTGACAACTAATTAATAAAAGCTTTTGTCCCCTCCTATGATACTGAATGGATTTATCATAATTACCCTACTACTCGCAGGCAGTTGAATTAATGACACAGATAAACAGATTATTTAAACAATTTAAAAAATTAAGGGTGGGGACACCTGGGTGGCTCGGTTGGTTAAGCCACTGCCTCCGGCTCACCGTCATGATCCCAGGAAGCTGGGATCAAGTCCCACATCAGACTCCTTGCTCAGCGAGGAGCCTGCTTCTATGTCTATGCCTTTCTCTCTGCCTATTTGGTTCTCTCTCTCCCTCTGCCAAATAAATACGTAAAATCTTTTTTTAAAAAAATTAAGTGTGGGTCTTTATCAAAATGGAAGTTATACTTAATGGAGGCTTTAAAAATCCTCAATAGACCTACTAGGCAAAATGAGACCCCATTAGGGCAGATGAAGACCCCTTATGTACAAATAGGCCATATGACAAAACTCTTCTAGCCACTATTAATATGCTAGAATATGCAGATGCTAAATTACCTTACAAAGCCACCTGCCAATACTCTCCCTTCTGCTAAGGTTATTGCTCAAGGAGGGGACACTACAGTAACACTCCTGGGCTCTGATGATGAAACACTCATGTTTAGGTTCTGTGCTGTCCCGTCACCTGGGCTCCAACTGAGGCTATATCCACCAAACCAGGACAACCACTAACATTGCCCTGCTGGGCCCACTGTTTTTTCCACACAGGACTCGCCTGCTGGCAACATGACAGACATGAGAGTTACTCCCAAAAACATGTCAGATGTCTTCTTCCCCTCACTGACCAAACTTGTCAAGAAAACGTTCACTATAGGACTAACAGCCATCACCCTGTCCAATGACGGTGAGTATACATATGTAACACTGAAAAAGCAAACACCCAATGATGTCAGTTTTAAATGAGAATCTATGCTTGCGACAGTGCTAAGTTTCCATTACCAACTGTTAATCCAATCAATACTTCCCCTAGTTGTTGGACTGGTTACCCTGTTGAGGAGGGTTCCTAACAGATGTTATATGCATAGTTACATTTACTATACTATTTATATGTTGTCGGACTTGTGGATATATCAGAAGTGCCTTGCAGGTACATACAGTGTCATATTATGCACAACTCAAGGAACGAATGTATTGTATGGCTGGAGGTTTCTGGGCTTTGTCCAGCATAACCTTCTACCCCGACCCGCACGAACGCAGGCAGGCTCAACAGTGTTGTGTGTGAGACTCGTGCAGCATAAGTGACCTCGGGAGCCTCGTTAGTGGCCCTCAACTGGCCTCCAGGTCAGAACGGGCCCTTCTGGTCTGGACGCCAAGAGCTGGAAGTCTTGCCTCCCATCCCCTCCTGCTCCAGGCTGGGCCGGGCCCCCGGAACGGACCCCGGGATGGAGGCAAACACACACAGCCCGGGCTCCTGGAAGAGGCAGAGACGTGGTAACACGAAATGCAGCTCACTCCAAACTGCGCGGAGGCAGACAAACGCTTAACTCCAGACCCCGTCATCTGCCCTAGAACTACGGCCCCTGTGGGGATGCTCAGTGGGAAGTCCCTCCTGAGGGGAGGACGCTCTGCCCAGGCCTCTCCTTCAGGGCTGCAGCAGGGCTGTCTCCACGGGGCTTTACCAGCCACCGAGGCTGGGTGTTCTAAGTCCCCGAGTAGATGTGACTCGGCCTCATTCTCCTTTACTGCTTACTCCTGCCCTCATCTGAGTGTAGATCTCCCTTTTCTTCTTTCGGTTCCTATTAGATTTTTACAGAATCAATAGAGTGTTTTTTCCCCTTTGAAGCTGAAAGTTCGGCTGCCGTGAATCTTTTGTTATAAAACACCTCGGTAGCATCTTCACTGGAGAGTTGAGTGTTTCTGAAGACATCATGTTTCATGCAAATAAACCATGTCTACAAAACTGTCCTTTTGTGAGAGCCAATACTGTCTAAATCCAGGCTAATTTCTTCCCCAAACTCAATTTTTGACCACATTCCCTGACAATACGTGATTAACTTATCTGACTCCCAGGCCTGCAACATGGACAGGCACGGTCTGTCCTCAAGAGACTTACTATTATGCCGCAGTCAGATGGGTCCTCCTTGAAGATATCTTGCATAGATATTGTTTCTTCCTTTTTATAGCTGTTTTCTAAGCCTGAAATAATTGAAGACAGGAAGAGATAAACCTAAGGGATATCTTAAGTAGAGGAGAATTAAAGTGTTGAAAATACACAAGACTCATGTGTGTTTCAAACAGTCACCACTGCATGACCACATAACATGAAACTGAAAACAATACTGGTGAATAAACACACAAACTTTAGAATAATGTCAACTAGAAAAAAAACTCAAAACACGGAGGACATTGCGAGATGGATAGAAGTGAGTTGGGGAAAATAGGAGGGGGAGACAAACCATGAGAGACTGTGGACTCTGAGAGACAAACTGAGGGTTTTGGATGAGAGGGGGGTCGGGCTTGGGTGAGCCTGGTGGTGGGTATTAAGGAGGGCACAGATTGCATGGAGCACTAGGGGTGGTGCATAAACAATGAATCTTGGAACACACACACAAAGTTAAAAAAAAAAAATCTCAAAAAAGAAAAATAAATAATGATGGGCTTTGCAGAAAACATGAGTGGAAATCATTACCCAAAAAAAAAAAAAAAAAAAAAAAGGAGAGAGAGAGAGAAAATCATGACAAAGACCACAAGGTGAAATTTCACCTCCTGTGAGGACAGGAACCTTCCTTCCCCGAGGTCAAATTCAAGTACAGAGCAGTAATGACAGGGCCTGAGGACTGCGGCAGGCTCCCTGGCCACTGGTCTTCTGAAGTTCTCATTCGCTCAAGCAAACGTGCACAACATCAGTGAGATCCTGCTCACTCATTCGCTAGACTTCTCGCACAGAGCCCGTGTCCCCAGCTCACCTGGATTCCAGCCTTGGGCAAGTCCTCTGTCTTCCCTCCACAGCTCCCCTCCTTGCTCCCACTGGGAAATCACATCTGCTTGGAAGAACTGACAGCCTAGATCAATGGGAGAATGTACGTGAATTTATGGAGGAAGGACCATGTGCACCCTGCACAACAGCCCAGAGAATAGCGCCTTCAACACCAGAAACATCGACAATGGTTCTCAGCCTGACCCTCCACCCCAGTCAGTCAAGACCTTTGCTTGCGGTCAAGACCCCAGCTCAAAGGGGTGCAGAAGGCTCTGCGTGTGCATCCAGAAAGAATGAAATGAATGTTCTCACAGGGTGGCTACCATTATTTGCAAAGGAAGACAATAACATGCGCTCCACTAGAATACACCGTGGCGTTTTATGCAGAAAGTGGTACAGGATGTTTGGTTTTCAACTGTGCTCAAACTTCACCATAGCGCCCAGAGCAGAAAATACGTAAGATATTGATTTATTCATCCAAAAACTATGCACTGTATTCCCAGCATTGTTCTGGGTCTTGGAGAAAGTGCAGTAGAAAGATACACAATTTGAGCCAAGAAGACTATATTCAAATTATTATGTAACAGACCTGATGAAAATAATTTATAAATTTCATCAAGTCAGAACAGAAGGGCCACAGAGGAGTACAAGTTAGGGCAGAGAGCCACTGGAGTATGTGGAAGCGGCCCTGCCTACAGCTTTATCAATCAATAGATGACCAAGCAAACGGACAGATGGTGTTGGACTCACCCACGGACACCAGATGAGTGATGTTCTCCAGCATCACATCAATGTACAGCTTCCTCTGTGACCTGTCCATCAGGGTCCACTCCTCCTGGGTTAAGTCTATGGCTACATCTTTGAAGGTCACGGACTCCTAGAACATCACAGACAGTATGTTTCAACAGGCCCGTGCTCAGTAATCCACAGGAGAGAACTATCAACGGGATACTGATGGCAAAGGGGGAGCGGTGTGGATAGGAGGTCAAACTCCACGTGTGGCTCAAATCCCAAATGCTCCTGTTCTGACCTGCCTGTGCCTTCCTGACACACTGAGAAACAGACACGTACAGTAAGCACAGAACGACTTCATGATCACAGAATCTCGATGATTTCCCAATAAACTGGCGATTCTGACTAGCTGGTTGGCAATTATCACCTCCATTAGACAGCACTGCGAAGCGCCTGGCTGGCTCAGAGGGAAGCGCATGTGACTCTTGATCCTGGGTCAGGCATGCGAGCCCCGGGTTCACAGAGATCACTAGAAGGACAAACGTATACAGTCTGGGGCTGCAATTTCTACTGAGCTAATGTGCAAACGCTTCTCTCACCACCCACAAGGGCCACACAACCGATCGGTCCCTTCCCTACGAACAGGCAGAGACGCACGAAGCCAGGCCCACCACGGGCATACAAAACTCACTTGATCTTTAGAAGAGATCAGAGCAGACAGTATCGTGAGGGGCTCCTGGGGCTGCTCTTCTGGAGGGTGGCCCCACAGTGATGCCTCTGGCAGCGAGCTCTCCATTCTCAACAGCAGCTATCCGCGGATCGGTTCTCTGTGTGTTAATCCTGTTTTTCTGTTCAAAGGCAACAGAATCCTCTCAGTTAGTTCCAGCCTCTCTTGGTCCTTCAAAAAGTGCTTCAGTATTTTAAATTTTACTTTAATTTCTACACATATTCTGCCAAATGCACAGCTAATTTTTTAAAACTACTCCCCAGGCACTGTTTTCAGAGTTCCAATTTTAACAAACTTTAATCACAAAGAGGGAAAGTGAGTGAAAGAGATAGGGTAGTAGAGAGAATTTTAGTCATCTCTGGAAGCTTCCAAACTTCAAGTATATGTTAACCAAACTTTGTAAGTTTAAAATTGAGAGAAAAAAATGGTTTCTTCTTTCTTCTCTTACACAGAGGTTTCTTGCATTCTCTGGAAAACAGTGCAACACCTGTCCCCTCCGGCACCAACCGTGCCCCTCACCACGTTACTAATACTAAGGAGTACACCATCTCCCAACTAAGACCGCACAATGGATAAGAAAAGAAAATCCTGCCCATCTGTCTTCTGCAAGGACACCGTGAACGGAGAATGAGATACATTCGTGTGAATGTTGCCAAGGAGAGGACTTCCTGATCAATCCCTGACCGAACGCAAGTATCCGTGGGTCCTGAGAACAGTTGAATGGAGCCCAGATCCCCAAGCACAGCCCGATGCGCTGAGAAGACTCAGGCCAAGAGAAGGCTTCCCATCCATGGGCAGCAGAGCTTCCTTCCAGAGAAAGATCCCATCTCTACTCACCTGCAGTCGCATTCTCAAGAATTCCGCCACCCCCTCGCCTCCTCTGGAGCTCCAGTCACACAGAGTACAAGCAATATGCGGGAAAAGCTGAGCAAGGAAAGAGAAGCCAAGAGACTCCAGTCTTACCCGCCATTCCCAGACACCCTGAATGTGAATCCCGGAGACCCCTCATGCAACCCCGACTCCCCCTACAAGAGCATGCCATGGGCCCTCAGAGCAGTGGGGGGCTCTCACATCTGCCTAAAGCAAATGTGAGAAGGCTTCGGCTACCACTGCTAGTAAGTAAAATATGAATATTCTTTGCAATTTTCAGACAAGGGAATGAAAATCACTCAATTCATAAGTTAACCAGCAAGTTGTTTTCGTTTCTTGAGGGTTTTTTTTTAAGATATTATTTTAGAGAGAAAGACAGCGGGACCAGGAGGGACAGAGGGAGACCCCATGCTGAACATGGAACCCAACCCAGGGCTCGATCCCAGGACTCTGAGATCAGGATCTAGCCTGAAACCAACTGCACCACCCAGGCACCCCGCAGACAAGGAAATGAAAATCAGTGAGCTTGTAAATTAACCAGGAAGTTCTTCATAGGGTTATTTAATTCCTTTCCTGATCCCCAAACCTAAAAGCCCCTGACTTAGAAAATGTAGAATGCAGGCATTGTATGAGGAAATTTATTTATTCAATCTAACATTTTGGTAAAGTTGTACCTGTAATACTGTCCTACATTAATCAACAGCACAAACAACACTTCAGCATTTCACAAATCCTATATTTAACAATATTGTAAACTTGGGGCACCTGGGTGGCTCAGTGGGTTAAGCCTCTGCCTTCAGCTCGGATCATGATCTCAGGGTCCTGGGATCGAGCCCCACATCGGGCTCTCTGCTCGGCAGGGAGCCTGCCTCCCCCACCCCCGCCTCTGCCTACTTGTGATCTCTCTGTCCCAAAAAAAAAAAATGGGGGGCACCTGGGTGGCTCAGTTGGGTTAAGCACCTGCCTTCTTCAGCTCAGGTCATGATGCCAGGTTCGAGCCCCATATCAGGTTCCCTGCTCCTTGGGGAGCCTGCTTCTCCCTCTGCCTCTGTAAGTGTGGATCTCTATCTCTTATGAATGAATAAAATCTTTTTTTAAAAAAGTCTCTTAAAGAAATAAAAAACATAAAAATATTGTAAACTTTATGGGTTGCCTGGGTGGCTCCATCAGTTAAGCGTCTGCCTTCTGCTCAGGTCATGATCCCAGGGTCCTGGGATCAAGCCCCAAGTCGGGCTCCCTGCTCAGTAGGGAGTCTGCTTCTGCCTCTGCCTCTCCCCCCGCTTGTGCTTTCTCTCTCTCAAATAAACAAATTTTTTTAAAAATAAATAAACAAGTTTTGGCAAACTAAATTCGTACCAAAATTTTGTTAGTACTTAACTGTATTTCATGGAAAAATGGTATTATATCACAAACAAAAGTAGACTTAACTCACCTCCTTATACCTAGACTCCAAAAAATAAGGAAGACAAAATAAAAGTTTAATAAATATGATTCTCTGCTTGGAAATTTACATACATTCATTAACCCTTACAAAGCCTGCTGGCTACAGACTGAATGCCCGCCCCCTCTGCTCCACACAAATCCACTCCTCAAAGCCCAACTTCCCAACGGGGTGGTGCCTGGAGGTGGTTCAGAGGTAGTCATGACAGCAGGCCCCCCAGGAAGGAACCGGTGACATTATTAGAGGAACACACCAGAGCTCTCAGCCACGCTGGGACTCAGTGAGCGCCAGGCTTCTCCAAGCCCAGAACGAGGCTGTCACCAAGTCCCAAATCTGCTGACACCTTGGTCTTGGGAGTTTCCAGGCTCCAGAACCGTGAAAGTAAATATGTGCGGTCTAAGCCACCTCGTCTGAGGTCTTTGTTACCAGCCGCCCAGAATGACTAAAACATGAACTTCTGTAGCAAATGACACAAACGTTGTTTGCTGTTTCGCAAAGCTTTAGTAGTGTGACAAACTTCCACGGCTAAAGACTGACACAGCTAGCACCTGAATTTGGTCTGTTTCCCCATCCCCAATTTCCACACACGGTCCTCTTCAGGGGTACAAGCCACCCCTCGGTCTGGGCAGGAGCGTCATGTCAGATCACGAACCAGAGACGCCTGCAGCAAGCCCTGCTGGCCCCCCTTCCGCAGCTGCTCGGAATCACTCCTCCTACCTGCGGCCCCTGTAGTCTGCCAACCCTTAATTCCACCATCTTTACTGCCCACTTCAATCCCCATGGACTCCCTTCCACACGCATCCGCGACAAAATAATGCAGTTTTGTTCCAACTGCGTATGCAAGCCCTGCCCAGTGCCTGGTTACGTGGCTTGTGCTCCGAAATACCAGAGATCGAGACTCCCACTTGGTTAGTTCTGCCCCACCCCCCTGATCCAGCCATTTCTTCCACCTCGTTAATGACCGACACCCGGTAACAGACAACAGTCTTATTTCTCAAAATCCAAACATTCAAACACATAGTCTTTTTTTCACACCAGTAGCTAATTCTCTGGCAGCGACCGGGTGTGTCCTGACACTCTCTTCCTGGAGTCAACATCAGATCCCACAAAGCTCCCCCCTACGCCACATGCCAGCCACAAAAGTAGCACTGGCCTATTCACACTTCTGCTGGGTGTACCGCAGGCTCAGGAGTTCCCACAACCCCCAAATGAGGTTTGGTAATTTTCTAGAATGGCTCTAGAATCTAGGAAAAGCTTCACTTAGGCTACTGGTCTGTTATAAAGGACAAAAATGACTCGTCAGATGAAGAAGTACATGGGGGAGGTCCCAGAGGGCCCCCAGTGCATTATCCCTGTTCCCGAGTAGCTGGGGCGCATACCCTCCCAGCAGGCAGAAGCTTTCGCCAACCTGGAGAGTCTCCAAAACTGGCTGGTGAAGACTTTACAGAGCTCGACCTCCAGCAAGCTCTCCCACCCCAGAGGCCGCCAGGTGGGCTGCTACATCTACAAGCCCAAATTTATTCTTAACACACTCCAGCTTTAATTTCTTTCATGCTTCCTCACTGGCCCGGAAAGCCTCCTGCCTGCTGCCCCAGCCCATTCACCCAGCCCCCCTGACTGCGGTCTGCTCCCAGCTCCTGGGCACAAAAGGTTTTGCTTGTCTCAGCAATACACAACTTCTGTTCCCATGAAAAAACTAGTCTCTCAAATTATTCGTACCTCCATGAATATTCCTAAGACTTTGCTCAAATAAATTTTTTTAAAGATTTTATTTATTCATTTTGGGGGGTGGGGGAAGAGCACAAGTAGAGGGAGAAGCAGGTTCCCCAATGAGCAGGGAACCCGACATGGGACTCGATCCCAGGACCCTAGGATCATGACCTGAGCCAAAGGCAGACGCTTAACCAACTGAGCTACCCAGGCACCCCTGCTCAAAGAAATTAACTAAAATATCTATATTTTACACAAGCGTTTTCCTAAAGGATATAATATCCTTTAGGATTATGTACACAGCTTTTTTTTAATTTCTTTAAATTATCTTTCCTAAATTAGCCTTTAAACATCACACAGTCTGACAATCCATCCTTCTTATTCTCTAGTAGAACTACTGTCTGGCACAAGCCTTGTTCCGAGACCCTCCCGCACACGCCTCTCTGCGGGAGAGGTCATCACTGCCGCAAGAACACTGCAGCGTGACTTGGCAGGCAAGTGCCGCAAGACCGCGGCACAAGAGAGAACCCTGGAGACTAAGCACTTCATTACCTTAAATGCTTGCTATAAAAAGAACACTCACTTTTGAAAGTTAGTATTGATTCGCTTTTATATTTGATATAAATTCACAAAGAAAACAAGACAAATCATTCTTTCTGGAATCAAATGCCTGTGCCTAAAATGAAAATATACTGCCTTAAAATGAAAATATACTGCCTGATTATTTTCTTCAGAAGTAATTTATTCTTTTATATATTAAGGTAGGTCCTAAGCCTTACCAACTTTTTCGTTTTATTAAAAAATATTTGAAACACATCCTATTTATGGGAAAATTAGCCCTGAAAGTATAAAATTATTCTTGGAACCTATAATATTTTGAAGCATGTCAAGTATTACAGTCACTAGGATTTCAACGAAACCTGACTTGAAATTGGTGCTGGATGGTCTTTCTCTCTTCCCAGGGGTTAAGGGAAGAGCACAGTCTGCACAAAGCCTTTATCTGCCTGCATGGAGATGACCAGGAGCGGGTGCTGAGGGCAACTCCCCGGGCCCAGAAGGATACAACGTCTCCCCCCCCAGGTCTTAACTGCAGGTACACCTCGCTTGGTGCACCTTGCAGATAGTTTTTTACAAAGATGTGTGGTGACGCAATGTTGACTGGCACCATCTTCCCAATAGCATTTGCTCACTTTGTTATCTCTGTGTCACAATCTGGTAATCCTCACAATGTTTCAAATATTATCACTATTATATTTGTTATTATGATCTCGATGAAAATGTGTGATGTGATGTGATCTTGATGATACGTGTGTTTGATGATAGTACTGCACTTGTTTTGGGATGCCATGAGCTTTGCCTGTATCAGATGGCTAACTTAATGCTGCGGGGAGCCTGAGGGGCTCCGTCAATGAAGCGTCCGCCTTCAGCTTAAAAAAAAAAAAAAAAAAAAATCACTGTTGTGTATGTTCTGACTGCTCCACTTAGCTGTCCCCCCATCTCTCTCCCTCTCCTTGGGCCTCTATTCTACAAGACACAGCAATATTGATCTTTGGCTGATCAATAACCCTACACTGACCTCTTAAGTATTCAAGTGAGGAGTCCCGCATCTCTCACCACATCAAAAGCTAGAAATGATTAAATGTAGTGGGAAAGGCCTCCTGTACCCAACAGTTAGCCATGTTGTGAATACAAAGGAGAAGTTTTTGAAGGCGATTAAAGGCACTAGTCCCGTGAACACAAGAATAAAAAAGTGAAATGAAACAAAGTTATTGCTGATATGGAGAAAGCCTGAGTGGTCTGGACGGAACACATTCCCTTAAGCCAAAGCCTGATTCAGAACAAGGCCCGAATTCTCAGTTCTGTGAAGGCTGTGGCAGGCGGGGAAGCTGCAGAGGGAAAGTCTGAAGCCTGTGGAGCTTGGCTGGTGGGATTAAGGGAAGCAGCCTTCACCCTGACATGAAGGACCAGATGAGGCCGCAGGTACCCACGGAGACGCTGCAGCAAGTCACCCAGGAGATCCAGCTCAGAGAACTCAGGAAGGCGGCCACACTCAACAACCGACTGCCAGTGTAGACCAAACAGCCTTCTGTCGGGAGACGACGCCATCTAGGACTTTCACAGCCAGAGACAAGTCGATGCCCGGCTTCAGAGCTGCGAAGGACAGGCTGGCTCCCCTGTGAGGGGCTGATGCAGCCGGTGACTCTACGTGGAAGCCAGTGCCCTCGTCCCATTCTGAAAATCCCAGGGCCCTTCAGCATCATGCTCAGTCTGCTCTGCCTGGGCCCTACACATGGAACGACACGGCCTGGATGACGGTGCATCTGTCTACAACACGGTTTACTGAATACAGTAAACCACCATCAAGGAACTACTGCTCAGAAAAAAGATTCCTTTCAAAATGCGATTGCTCATGGACAACGCACCTGGTCACCCAAGAGCGCTGATGGAGATGGACCGTGAGAGTAACGTGGTTTTCATGCCTGACACAGCATCCGTTCTGCAAAACGGCAGGGGAAATGGGGACACAGACATGGGCTCAAGACTCAGAACTTTGATAAATTATAGGGGAAAAAAAGTTTACAAGGATCTCTAGAAGGAAAAAAAAAAAATCCAAAAACAGTAGAGTTCCCCCACCCCCTTTAAATTATAGGCTCAGACTGCCTGGGTGGCTCAGGCGGTAAGTGTCTGCCTTAAGATCTCAGGGTCCTGGAATGGAGCCCCCCCACCTGCCAGGCCCCAACGCAAGCTCCCTACTCAGTGGGGAGTCTGCTTCTCCCTCTGCCTCTGACCCTACCCCCCACCTGTGCTCTCTTTCTCTGTCTCAAATAAATTAATAAAACCTTTTAAATAATAAATTAAAAAAAAAACTGTGCGCACAGTTGTAAATATGAAAGAGTTGAAAAAGTATTTGTTGTTAGGGAAGAAAAGGTGTAGTGCTGGAAAAGCAACGATAGTAGAAACTGACAAGTGCTGCTAGCAGTCATTCATGAAGAGGACTGGGGAGACCAGTGCAGAGAAAGAGCATGTGCAAATGTCCTGAGGTGAGGCAAGCCTGACAGGACCATGAACTAGCAAGTGGTCTGTGCACTAGAACAGTGAGTCACAGTTACATCCCTCTAGTGACACTTAACAAATGAGGGTTTTTTTTTTTTAATATTTTATTTATTTGTTTGACACAAAGAGAGAGATCACAGTAGGTAGAGAGGCAGGCAGAGAGAGAGGAGGAAGCAGGATCCCTGCTGAGCAGAGAGCCCAATGAGGGGCTGGATCCCAGGACTCTGGGATCATGACCCCACTGAGCCACCCAGATGCCCCAACAACTGAAGTTTTAATATCACATTTCATTTCTGTTTTGTTCAGTGTTCATGTCTAGCAAACAAATACTAAAATCCGTTTGTACATTTTTCTGGCAAACAAAAGACCACATGGAAGCTTCTCTGTAAAAGGAAAATGGACAGAAGCGTTAAGATACACTTGCTGACACAGAGCTCCTTATATTCACCCCAATTCAGTTATATCGGAGAGACAGAGAGTCAAGAAGGGAGACGCTAATCTTAAAGCATCAAGATTAAAGATATTTGAATTGGGTCTGAGAGAGTTGACTTCCTACTGCTGGTTCTTTCTGTTCTTCAAATTAGCAGTCCAGGAAAATCGGTATTTATCAGATGTGACGTAAGCAGTGATCACTTCAGAAAACAGTAAGAGAATATCAAATCCCTATGCTCTCCCCCGAAGACACCCACGAAAAAACCCATACAAAGGCAAAATTCCCGTGATTACGTGAAGAAATTCACAACCTCCATGAGAAGTGGTCTAACAATCTCCCTTACAATAAGCACTGCTTCTGCAGGGATGCCCCTTCTCCCGCAGAAGGGATGCAAGGAAACAGACTCAGACGTGGTGCAGTCTGGTTTGCCAGACACCCACCTCGCCGGCTCTGTTTGTCACAGGGAGCTATGCAACCCATACTGACTCAAGAGCACTCCCAGACACATACTACATACAAACCTAAACGCTGAGGATGTGATGGAGAAGGTGGCCCCGAGGCTGAATGAGCGCCTACGTAAGCAGAGAGGCCACGAAGGAAAAGGGAAGGGAGAGTCCAGATGTCAAGACTATTTGATCACCCATGGCGTAAAGTCCTGGCTCCTGCCTCAGAGTCCACCTCCCAGCAGGTCTGAGAAGGGTAAGCTGAGCCCAGGGGAATGGAAATTTGGAGACTTGGAGGAGCACTGGGCCCCCTTCTTTCTAAGGACTCCAGAGTGGCTACTGTTCTATTGCCTAACAGAAAAATATCTTCCAAATTCTCGATTTATTTGAGCTCAAATATTAGTATTTTTTTAAAGATTTTATTTATTTATCTGACAGGCAGAGATCACAAGTAGGCAGAGAGGCAGGCAGAGAGAGAGGGGGAAGCAGGCCCCCCGCTGAGCTGAGAGCCCGATGTGGGGCTCGATTCCAGGACTCTGGGATCATGACCTGAGCCGAAGGCAGAGGCTTTAACCCACTGAGCCACCCAGGCGCCCTCAAATATTAGTATTAAATCAATGTAAAAGTTTTGAGAAAGCCCTGGGGCGCCTGAGTGGCTCAGTGGATGAAGCGCCTGCCTTCGGCTCAGGTCATGATCCTGGGGTCCCGCTCAGCGGGAAGCCTACTTCTCCCTCCCACTCCCCCAACGTGTGTTCTCCCTCGCTGACTCTGTCAAATAAAAAACAAAATCTTAATAAAAAAGATTTCTGTATGAAAGCCAGAAGGGCGTCCTCGCTCATAACCGATCTCTGGGAGGCTGTGCCGCGTGAACAGATGCGATCTGGTGTCGGATTCCAACCCGCTCAAGCCCCGGTGTTTCCAAAGAAGCCATGAAAGAGGAGATACTAACTTCCATTTCCACGCTGCAGTCTACCAAGGCTGTACATGAAACTACTGAAATCTGAAATCCAATCTGACGACTGCTTTTCCACGTTCACCGGACACCTCCCTACAATGGAGGCTCGCCAGGGGCAGCTGCGCCGCGAGCGCGGACCCCGCGGAGAAGCCGGCGCCCCGGGACCTGACCTTGCACGTGGACGCGACTCCACAACTCCGCGGCGGGGAGGAGGCGCCCGCACCCCGGCCGCGACGCAGCCAATGAGGAGCCACCACACTTCAAACTCCCGGTCTCCTCCAATGGACTTTTCGTTCACAGCGACCTTCCCAACTTACCCCTTTCCTTCCGAAAACCCCTGCCTCTCCTTTGTTCCCTGCTGGCCCGAGTCCCCCGACGCGGCTCTGCCCCGGACGGCGATTCCGCCCCACACCCCAACGCTCCCCGCTGGGAACGGCCGGCGGCCCACTTCCCGGTTAACAATGGGGAACAATGAGCATCCGTGCCGACTGTCCTCGGATGCGAGGAATTAATTTCTCATTAACGAAAAGCAAAAGCCACGCATTTCCTACACGGCCCCCCCGAACGGAAAGCAGACCCCGACCGCAGCATCCCCACTTCCCCACACAAAACACTCCGAGAGCCCCGCCGCCCGCCGCCCCCCGCCGGCCCCCGCCGCCGCCCCGCGCCGCCCCAAGACCGCCCCGGCCGGGCCCCCGCGCCCCGCCGGCCCAGACAACAGGGACCGCGCTCACACCTGTCACCCCAACCGGGGCGCGTCTGCGCACGCGGGGCACGAGGCCGCGCGCCTCCCGGTCTCACCTGGAAGTGCCCCCCAACAGCTCCCGGGCGCAGGAGAGCGGCGGCCGGCTCCCGCGGACACCGAGCAGCCGCCAACCGACCCGAGCGGCCAGCCGGCCGGCGCGCGCCACCGATCGTGGGGCCGACCGGAAAGTCTGCGGCCGCCTCTTCCTACCTCCCGACGCACCCGGGCCCGGCCCCGCCCCACGCCGGCCGCGCCCCGGCCCCGCCCCACGCCGGCGTCCCGGCTCGCCCCACGCCGGCGTCCCAGTCCCGCCCCACGCCGGCCGCGGCCCCGCTGCTCCGCCGACGTCGTGGCCCGGCTGCGCGCTCGCTCTCCCCAGGCCCCGCCCCACGCTGCCCCGACCCCGCCCCTCCGCCGACGTCCCAGCCCGGCCTTGCGCTCGCCTTCCCGGGGCCCCGCCCCAAGCCGGCCGCGGCCCCGCCCCTCCGCCAATGTACCCACTTCGCTCCGCGGTCGCCCTCCCCTAGCCCCGCCCCTCCGCTGACGTCCCGTCCCCGCCCCGAGCTCGCCCTCCCCGGGCCTCGCCTCACGCTGCCCGCACCCTGGCCGCGGCCCCGCCCCTCCGCTGACGTCCCGTCCCGACTCCGCGCTTGCCGTCTCCAGGCTCCTCCCCAAGCCGACCGCACCCCGGCCCCGGCCAGGCCCCTCAGCTGACGTCCGGTCCCCGCTTTCCGATTACCCTCCCCAGGCCCCGCCCCACGCCGGCCGTATCCCGGCCCTGGCCCCGCCCCGCCGCTCTGTCCAGTGTCGGCTCCGATATCGCCCTCCCCAGGCCCCGCCACACGTTGGCCGCGCCCGCTCACTGGCCCCGCCCCACGCTGGCCGCGCCACTCTCTAGCCCGATCCCGCCATCGGAACCCGCCCCCACAAGCCCCGCCCCCAGAAGGCTCCGCCCCAAGTCGTAATTTCCTGGCGCCAGAATTTTTCTTGGCGCGAAGGATCCCCTGCGGTGGTGGGTGGGCGTTGGCGTTGGTGTTGGTGGTTCAAAGCCGCGCTCCGCCGCCGCGTCCCCGCCCGGTCCTCCCGGACGCCGCGGGCCCCGTCCCGCCCGCGCGGAGCTCCGCGGTGCCCTTAGACGCCCCGAGGCGGGCGCTCGCGCGCTGGGGCCGAGCCAGCGTCTGTGCGGCCGGAGTGGCTCCGAGGCCTGCACGTCCGGCCTTCCCTGCGGCCCCGCCCCGCGCTGCATCCTCCCTCGCGACGCGGGTCCCGGCTCTGCACGGCCCCCCCCACCCCGTAGCCCGCTGGCTCCCGGGCCGCCCCGCACTCCCCGCCCCGGCCCCCGGGACTCTGCCCACCCCGGTCCGTTCCTCGCCGGACACCCGCCTCCCCACGGCCGGCCTCCCGCGGCCGGGTCCTGCGTGCGGCGCTCCCGGGCCGCCCGTCCGCAGCCTCCGCCGGCGCGGGCACGATGCCGCCCGCGAACGCCGCTTGCTGCGGGGCCCCCAGACCCGGTCCCCAGCCGTACCTGCCCGCGCGATCCCGCCGCAGACTCAGCGGCTGGGCGGCCGGCGTCCTCGCTCCATCTCCGTGCGCCGAGTGGGCGGGGAGACAAGGCGAGCGGCCCAGCGGGAGAGCCGGGGGGACGCGAGTGAGGCCGAGCGAGGCGGAGAAGTGGGAGGTGCTACGGGCTGGAGCCGCGGCCGGGCGCGAGGGCCCTGGGCGAGCCGCGGCGGCCCGGCGGGGAGGGAGGCGGGGCGGCCGCGGGGAGGACGCGGGAGTCGTGCGGCTCCGAGTCTCCGCATCACTTTCCCCTTTCAGCGGGTTGTGCGGGGCCGGCGGGGAGGCCTCAGCGCTTTCCCTGCCGCGCTCCGTGTCTGAAGCACTAGAGCTCGCCGGTGACGTTGCACCGTGTCGTGTGCCCCGCGCGGAAGCTGGGAGCTTCGTATTCGCGGCCGGGCCCGCTCAGTCGGCGTGGCGTGCGGCGGCCCGTGACTAGGCTGGCTCCGACCGACTGCGTGTTTCTTCGCGTTTCTTTGTCCCTTTTCCACAGATGTTGAGGGATGGGCCGGGCTGTCCAGCCGCTCTTGCTCCGGCCCTCGGGGGGACACGTGCAGCTCGTTCCGGGTTCTGCTGAGGACAAGGCGGTCTCCCCGGTGTCTCCCCGGTGTCTCGGGGCGCGCGGCACCTCCGCGGCCCACAGGCCGACACCAGCCTCCCGCGCGTCCAGGGCAGGCTCCCCCTTGGGCAGCGGCGTCCCCCCGGCTCCTGAGCTGACGGAGGAGGTTCTGCAGGGGGTTCGGTACCATGGACACATGGACGCCCACTCCGGCCTTCCCGGGCAGACGCTGGTGGTCGTGGGTCTCGTTCCCGCTGAGAACATTTCAAGAGACTCGGGGCAGAGCCGGCCAAGTCCGCGGCTGGTCCGCAGGGACGAAGGCGGTGCCCGGCTTGACTGAGGCATTGGCGTGTGTCTCCGGTGGGCCGGACGCCCTGCCTATTGTTTTCACTTTTCCCGTTTCCCACTAGAAAAAGAAGCTAAAATAAAGGATCTAATGGACTTGGAGAGACACAGTAAGAGTGAAAGGGAGTGAATGAATACCGCATTTTGTTAGTCGAGTTTAATTACACTACACACCATACATGATCCATTCTTCCTCTGCAAATGTTTTTTTCATATAGTACAATTGCAGTGACCTTGTTTCGGTATTTTTAGAATGGAAATAAAAATACGAAGTTGATAAGCCTTCAAGAAATGACATCTATGGGCGCCTGGGTGGTTCAGTGGGTTAAAGCCTCTGTCTTCAGCTCAGGTCATTATCCCAGGGTCCTGGGTCCTGGGATCGAGCCCCGCATCCGGCTCAAGGGGGAGCCTGTTTCTCTCTCTCTCTGCCTGCCTCTCCACCTACTTGTGATCTCTGTCTGTCAAATAAAATCTTAAAAAAAAAAAAAAAAAAGAAAAGAAACGATGTCTATGAAGTGTGCACTGTGTGTGAGATATGAAAGACCCACAGGACAAACTTCTTAGGTCCATAATATGTAAGGACTCATGGAAACTTCATTCATATCTTATTTACCATCATGCATTAGAAACATGTTTGGGAGCAGCAGGAACTCACTTTCATAGGGTTCATGGTTTTTGTCAGTTACGTCAAGTGAGGCATGGAAACTATCAAATTTAATGTAGGGGCGCCTGCGGGCTCAGTTGGTGAGGCGTCTTCCTTTGGTTCGGGACATGATCTCCGGGTCCTGTATCAGTCCCACGTGAGGCTCCCTGCTTGGCTAGGAACCTGTTTCTCCCTTTGCCTGCCTCTCTCCCTGCTTGTGTGCGCGCTCTCTCTCTCTCTCTCTCTGTCAAATAAATAAAATATTTTTTTTAAATAAAATATTTTTAAAAATTTAATGTAAAAGACTACTTGCATGGATTTTGTTTACTTGAGACACACTTTATGTCTAGTATAAGTCTTGTTTATATCAAGAAGGATATCTAGAACACATGGTCATGTATTTCCGGCGTAATCCAACTCATTCCTTGGAGCAATATTAGATTACTATTTACATGTGCTTATTGTTCTAGAACACTGAAAATAGAAATTAGCAAAATATGACAGGACATGAATATTCATCTGGGAAACAATCTGTCATTCCGAAGCAGTTCCTATTTTGGTTCCTATAAATGTGTTTGTGTATATGTTTTCCAGGGAACCTGGACTTAGGATCCCTTTTTCCCTCTGTCCAAAGCCCTGCCTGCAGCAAACATTAGGCCTCAGCCCTGTCTCAGGGCTGACTGCCTTGCTGCCCTTTCTGCTTGCTACTCTCATGTCTGGGTTTGTGCTCTTTGTCTACGGCAGTTGATGGACCATGAGAGCAGTCCCTGGGCATCCTCCTCAGTATTCCCCAGCCATTAGGGGATGCCTTGGGGTGGCCTCACTGACTCCCAGGTTCTGGGATGTACTTAGAAATTTCTGGGGAGATCTGGGCAGCTCGGGTCATGATCTCAGGGTCCTGGGATCAAGTCCTGATTCGGGCTCCCTGCTCAGCAAAGAGGCTGCTTCTCCCTCAGCTGATCCCGATCCCCCTGATCGTGCTCTCTCACTCTCACTTTCCATCTCTCTCTCTGACAAATAAATAAAATCTTTATTTTTTTTAAAGATTTTATGTATTTATTTGACAGACAGAGATCACAGAGAGGCAGGCAGAGAGAGGGGAGCACGCAGGCTCCCTGCTGAGCAGACAGCCCCATGCGGGGCTCAATCCCAGAGATCATGACCTGAGCCGAAGGCAGAGGCTTAACCCACTGAGCCACCCAGGCGCCCCTAAAATCTTTATTTTTTTTAAAGAAATGACTTTTTTTTTAAGATTTTATTTATTTATTTGATAGCGATCACAAGTAGGCAGAAAGGCAGGGGGAAGCAGACTCCCTGCCGAGCAGAGAGCCTGATGCGGGGCTCCATCCCAGGACCCTGGAATCATGCATGACCTGAGCCAAAGGCAGAGGCTTTAATCCACTGAGCCACCCAGGCGCCCATAAATAAAATGTTAAAAAAATTTTAAAAAGAAAGAAGGAAAATTCTGCACAGGCTGCAGCAGGTGGGGACTTCTCTCAAGACTTGTCTACTTGCCCCAGTGGTGTTTGGGCAATGGGGGTCTTAGGAGATTTGAAATTACTTTGGCGGTCTAAGGATGCCCTTCCAGTGCCTTTAAGCAGCCATGAGCCCTTACTGGACCCTGGGTATCTTAGAATGCTTTCCAAGGCTCAGGCAGGGCAAGATCCCGTCCTTAAGTCTCCCCTGTAGAAATGGTAGTTCTGGGCATCTGGAAAGGGACTTGAAAATTTCCAGGCACTCATCAGGGGAAATGCCATGGAGGGAGGGAGCGCCTGTATGTTTGCATATCTTGGGAATACTGAGTCATCCTGTCCAGTACATCTGACCCTGATTGGATGGGGAAATATTATTTAATATTTTATAACCACAGCAGTGATCACTAATTGCAGCAGTAATTATGATAATGCTGAAGAGCATCAATAACAATAATGATGATGCTCTTTATGATGATGACAATAATTAAAAACCATCAGAAGAACCCTCAGTAAGCAGGAGAATAGAACACGGGCTCCCAGAGTAAATGATAAAGTGCCCAGAGCAGGACTTATGGAACGGCGTGAGTCAGAGTCCCAGTTCTGCCCAGACTTGCTTTTTTTCTCACATGTCACAGGCCATGTTCCAGACAGATTGAAGGTGCGTAGCAGCCCTACAGGGACCAAGTCTGTTGGCAGTATTTTCCCAACAGCATTTACTCACTTTGTGTCTCTGTGTCACATCTGGTAATTCCTGCAATATTTCAAATTTTGTCTTTGGAAGTGAAGCCTGAAGATGGAACTGAATTGCTGCATTTTCTTTCTTTCTCTCTTTCTTTTAAATTTATTTATTTGAGAGGGAGAGAGTGTGAAAGGGAGAGGAAAAAGCGGGCTCCCCGCTGAGCAGGGGATGCTCAGATGCTCCTAATTGCTGCATTTTCAGGATCAAACTCTAACAGATGAGGAGCTGCTTCTTGTGCATGAGTAAAGGTGGCTCCCTGAGCTGGACTGTATTCCTGGCAAAGATGCTGTGAAGACTGTTGAAATTATGACAAAGGATTTAGACTATCACATAAACCCAGTTGATAAGGCAGGCCCAGGGTCTGAGAGGAACTTTTGGAAGAAGTTCTACTGTGGTCAAAGTTTTATCAAACAGCGTCAGAGAAAAATCATGAAAAGGAAGAGTCAATCAATGTGGCAAACTTTAGGGATGCCTGGGTGGCTCAGTGGGTTAAGGCCTCTGCCTTCGGCTCAGGTCATGAGTTAAGGCCTCTGCCTTCAGCTCAGGTCATGATCCCAGGGGCTTAGGATCGAGACCCGCTTCGGGCTCTCTGCTCCTCAGGGAGCCTGCTTCCTCCTCTCTCTCTGCCTGCCTCTCTGCCTACTTGTGATCTCTCTCTCTCTGTGTCAAGTAAATAAAATCTTAAAAAAAAAAAATGTGGCAAACTTTATTGTCTTATATTAACGATTGTATTTATGAAACGAGACGAAACCAGAGAGGGAGACAAACCATAAGGGACTCTTCATTTCAGGAAAGAAACTGAGGGTTGCTGGAGGGGAGGGGGGTGGGAGGTTGCTGGGGGATGGGTATTGGGGAGGGTATGTGTTGAGGTGAACGCTGGGTGTTGTACAAAACTGATGAATCACAGACCTGTACCCCTGAAACAAATAATACATTATATGTTAATTTAAAAATAATAACAGAAATATAGTAGTTAAAATACTATATTAAGGGCCATAGTTATAAGTAAGCCGATTGGACAAAACTGTATCTTTGAGTTTTATACACTCTGGTTGGGTTGTTTTCTGGAGCCGAAATACAGATTTTTTTTTTCTAACTTTCCAGTAGAAAGGAAACTGTATTCTCTTTTTTAACTTGTAATCCCAGGCACTAGGGGTCCTACATTTCTACTAGAAGGCAAGCTGCTGCCCCAGCGGCTGCCACAGGCGAGATTACAGTCTGAGCCGTTCAACCATCAGGATGTACTTCTTTTGAAATCATTTTACTGCAATGATTCTTATGTATCCTCTTTTACAGTTAAAATCAGGAGTTTCAAAAAGGAGTGAATTATGCAAGTGAATACGTTTTACAGTCTGATATGTGAGAGAATGTGGCAAAATTAAAACAGTTCTCTGTTGAGTACTGACTGGGCTGCTAAGCACTGGACCACAGATTCTGTGAATTTGTCTCCATCAGCCTTTAAATTTTGCCACGTCTGTAATGCCACAAAATAAAGCTACAAATTAAGCACTTAGAAATATAAAAAAAAAAGTGATTGATTTTAAGGAGAAAGGGGAGTGGGTAGCAGGGGAGGGATGAGGAGAGAAGCAGGTGCCCAGCTGAGCACAGATTTGCAGCGTGGGGCTCGATCTCACGACCCTGAGATCACCACCTGAGCTGAAACCCAGTTGGATGCTTCACCCACTGAGCCCCCCAGGCACTCCTGTTGTCTTATTTTAAGAAACCACCATGGCCACCCCACCTTCAGCAGCCATCAGCACCAAGGCCAGACCCTCCACCAGCAAAGAGGTTAGGACTCGCTGAAAGCTCAGAGGGGAGCATTTATTAGTGATGACGTTTTTATTTTTATTTCTTTAAAGATTTTATTTATTTATTTGACAGACAGAGATCACAAGTAGGCAGAGAGGCAGGCAGAGAGAGAGGAGGAAGCAGGCTCCCTGCCGAGGAGAGAGCCCAATGCAGGGCTCGATGCGTGGCTCGATCTCAGGACCATGAGACCATGAACTGAGCCCAGGGCAGAGGCTTTACCCACTGAGCCACCCAGGCGCCCCTAAGTAATGATGTTTTTAGTGAAAGGCAGTCCCGTTAGGGGTTTTTGACATAATGCGATTGTATACTTAGGAGGCTACAGGATAGTATAAAT